TAGTTTTGCAAGATGTTACCATTGGGGGAAACTGAGCAAAAGATACATGAGCTATCTCTATTACATCTTACAACTGCATGTGAGTTTAATTTAACTAAAAATACATTTTCAAAGATTTTAGAAGAAGCTATAAAATCCATAGTCTAAACTTCAAGTAAAAATAAAAACCAAAAACCAAACCAAATGCCATTGAGTCGATTTTGACTCAAAGTGATCCTGTACAGGGTTTCTGAGACTTTAAATCTTTATGGGAACAGAAAGCTTCATCTTTCTACTGTGAAGCAGCTGGTAGGCTTGAACTGCCTGCCTAATGGTTAGCAGTCCAGTGCTTATCTTAAAGTGCCACCAGAGCTCCTTAAGTAAAAATACAGGAATACAGGACACAAATTGTTTGATTTGAAGTACATTTCAGGGGATTATTCAGATCATATGAGTTCAAGTAATAGTACACTGATTTTATAGCTCTATACTGACATCTAATGTTTGATGAAAGGTTTTATTCTTCATTTTTAGATATTTACTGGTAACTTGATCTCAAGCATATCCACGGTTTGGCTAAGACCCTGTTGTGATACTCTTATACATATTCTTCTGACAGGTCTGTGCTCTATCACTTGGGAATTGTGGATAAAATCCAAAAAACAAACCCACTGACATCTAGTTAAGTCCAGCTCATAGCAACAGTACAGGACAGAGTAGAAATGTCACATAGGGCTGACCAGACTCATTTACACATAAAACAGACTCCAATCACTTACCTTTCTGTTAACACAGGAGCACTTAACCCATGTGTTACCAGGGTTCCCTATCATGGATAAAGGAATACGTAATTGATAAATATAAGAACATAAGTTCTTATCATTTGTTGTTGTTGGTAAGTGCCGTCGAGTCAATTCTGACCCATACCTTATCATGAGAGACAGTTTTATCTATGTTGTTGTTGTTAGGTGCCATCGAGTCTGTACCTAATCATAGCGACCCTATGCAAAGCAGAACAAAACACTGCCCGATCCTGGGCCAACCTCACAATTGTTGCCAAACTTGAGCCCATTGATGCTGCCACTTTGCCAATCCATCTTGCTGGGGGTCTTCCTCTTTTTCCCTGACCCTCCACCTTACCAAACATGATATACTTCTCCAGAGACTGATCCCTCCTGACAATATGTCTGAAGTATGAGAGACGAAGTTTGGCCATCCTGGCCTCCAAGGAGCACTCTG